TGGAGACCCTGTGGGCAGTTCCACTCTGTCCTCTAGGGGTGCTGTGGGTTGGAATCAAGTTGATGGCAGTGGGTTGATTGGAATTTAGGCAGGCTGATAGTGAGAGTCTGGGCCAACAATGGGGCCTTGGGCTGATTGTGGGGTCCCAGGCTGATAGTAGGGGTCCAGGCTGATAATGGAGGGACCAGGCTAACAGTGGGGGTTCTGGTGATCAATCAAGAATCAAGGAATGGTGATCCCCACAGTGGTTGCAATGAGGAAGGAGCCTTGGGGGCAGAGAGCCCCATCCCACTTCACTCCCACCACATGCCCTGCCCAGGGGGTGGGCACCACACTGTGGGCCCAGATGCCCAGCTACTTAGACTTCTAGGAGCAGCCAAAATGCTCTTATGTCTACCTTTTAATCTTAAAATATTAGCTATGAAATATTTTGTACTTGGAGGAAGTGCAGTCAGAATGCTTCTTGGACGTGAGAACGGCCAGACTTGGTCTCACCCACTTTGGTCGTGTTGTCAGAAGGGACCGTTCCCTGGAGAAGGATGTCATTCTTGGTGAGGTGGAGGTCAGCTAAAGAGGGACTCATATCAACGAGATGGACGGACACGGTGGCTGTGGCAATGGGCTCAGGTACAGTGTGAGGACGGCACCGGACAGGGCAGTGTTTGGTTCTGTCGTCCACACAGTCTCTGTGAGTAAACATTGACGCAAGGGCACCTAACACCAACAACGCATTTCTGAGTCCCTGGGTGGCGTAAATGGGTAAGCACTCAGCTACTAACCAAAAGGTCAGGGGTTTGAGTCCACCCAGGGAACCAGGGGTAGCACGGCTGATGTCACATGGACCTTGGCTGAAAGCAGAGAATACCAGCCAGATGTCTGCCTGTGTTTTATCCATGATGTAAAGACATTCAGCTATGAGGATCATAACAAATTATGGATCACTTCATGAAACTCTAGTGATGCAGTGCCTAAGGCATCTGACTGCTAACCAGAAGGCTGGACGTTCAAACCCACCAGCCACTCCTCAGAAGGAAGACTGGGCAATCTACTTCCGTAGAGATACCACCTTGGAAACCCAAGGAGGGGTCACTATGAGTCAAATCGA